TTTTTTAAGAAAATCTCAAAATTGTTTGGAAGAAACAATTTTTCATTTAGCCACATTTTTTTTTTCCCCTTAAGATCTCTAGAAAATATTTGTGTTGGAAAGTAATCATTTATTCCTTCCTTTTCTATTACTTTATAGTAGCATAAAAACCATAATTCTTTGGTTTCTTTTTTTCTTTAGTGGCTTACAGAAGAGATGAAATGTGGTCTGAGGGACGATATGACTATGAAAGACTTCCGAGAGAACGAGCATCTCCTCGAAGTCATCCCAGTGTAAGTTACTCCTACATATGGAACGATTCGAAAACCTAGTGTCTAAGTTCATTTGATACACCAATGCTAGGCCTGTTAACAAAATTTTCATTGTCAGAAATTTACCAATGTAGATTGCAAAAGAGGCCAAACTTATCTTTTAAAAGTTCGAAAATAAAGACATTTAAGTAGAAAACTTACTATTTATATTTCTTGTTTAAATTTCTAAACCGAAGGATTTATATTGAATTTAATTTGTGAACAAAATTACAAATTTTATAAAGATTATACCATGAGTTAACAAAGAAATATTTGAGTACCTGCTCCTGCTATTGGCTGTTAACTGTTTTTTTCTATATTCCTTAACATGTTAAAAATTGAATATATGAAATTCTAAAAATAGGCTTTCATTTTAAGAGAGGAGATCTCTTCCTAGAGTGAAACATGTTAATATCCCTAGTTAGGATTCCTGCAGGTGTGCTGTTCTGTGATCAGGCAGTCTGGCTGGTGAGTAAAAATGCCTGGAGGCTCTGGGGCAGACAGGCAGGCAGCTTCTGGTGTGTTGTCCTACTTCTTGTCTCTTTGTTGCTCTGGGAATTGGGAATTTTGAGCCAAGCGTTTTCGAAGCCCAAAGAGCTTGCTGTTTTGTTTACTATTTCCAGTGTTACATCTAGTACTTGTCAGGTAATAGAAGCTCAATATTTATTTGAATGAATATGTGTACTAACTCCCCATTATCCCATATGGAAGTCTAAAGGAGCATTTGGGGAAGATCGAGAAGCTAACTTAAACTTTTGCACAGACCCATTCTAAGCACCAAGGTACTGAGGTTGTGGTGATGGTATATAAATACGGATTCATTATGTACCTTCAAAAGCCACAAATGTTTATTTCTACATTAGTTATTTTTTACCTACATATCATTTAAGACTATAGCCCACTTAGATGGGTGGTATCATCTTTAGGTTTGTTGTCCTAGATTACAGCCCAGGTTTGCGTCGATTTAAAATGATTTAAGGTGGAAAAAATAAAGATGCCCACTATACTTCGGGATGGCCAGACTTAATTATTACTATATGTGATTTCTTTCCAGGTTAAGTTGTAGACTGTATGTTTTTAATCAAAATCCAATGTTTTTATTTATATTTTTTACTTGATAAGGTTATTCTGTAGTTTACCTGTAGGTAAATCTGACAAAGAAATACAGGGATAGGAAAAGGAATTACTTTTTTATTTTTTTTTTAATGATGGGGTTTCACCATGTTGGTCAGGCTGGTCTTGAACTCCCGACCTCAGGTGATCCACCCACCTTAGCCTCCAAAGTGCTTGGATTACAGGCGTGAGCCACCGCGCCTGGCTCGACTTTTTTCTTTATCTCCCCTCTTCCCTCCACCACTCTGCCAAGGATCTATCCCATTGGGAATTTTTTCTTTTCTTTTTTCTTTTCTCATTTCTTTTCTTTTCATGGAGTTTCACTCTTGTTGCCAAGTCTGGAGTGCAGTGGCGTGATCTCGGTTCATTGCAACCTCTGCCTCCCAGGTTCAAATGATTCTCTTTCCTCAGCCTCCCAAGTAACTGGGATTACAGGTGCCTGCCACTATATTTTTGTATTTTTAGTAGAGACAGGGTTTCAACATGTTTGCCAGGCTGATCTCGAACTCCTGACCTCAAGTAATCTGCCCATCTGGGCCTCCCAACGTGCTGGGATTACAGGCATGAGACACTGCCTCTGCACCCACCACCAATTTTTGTATTTTTAGTAAAGACAGGGTTTCTCCGTGTTTGGCCAGGCTGGTCTCAAACTCCTGGCCTGAAGTGATCTATCTGCTTTGGCCTCCCAAAGTGCTGGGATTACAGGCATCAGCCACCACGCTCAGCCCTGTTAGGAATTTTATATTATGTGTTTTGAAGATACTTAAAAAGAATTTTCTGTATGGTTATGCCATCAACTGGGCACCAGTCTGTAGGATTGTGTGCTTTATTACTTTGGGGCTTGGGAAAGCAGGTTATTGTATCGATTTTAGATTTTAAGAGGAGTAGTGGACCCAGGGAGATGAGGTTGCTGAAAGTGCTGACCCAGAGAATTACTAAATTAATACACCATGTGGTATGGGAAAGGCTTTAGTGTGGCAGAACGATAAGCAATCAGTATTTTAGAGTGTGGGTTGCCAAGATGCAACAGTTTTGAGTGAAGTTCAGTGTGTAATAGAATAGAGAGCTGGTGTAAGTTATTGGAGTTGAGAGCAAGGAAACTTTTAGGATAGACTTTGAATTTGTGGTTTAGATCAGAAGCTCTCAATCCTTGCTGTACAATAAAATTTCCTGGAGAGCTCTTCAGTACCACTGTATGGGCCCCATCTTAGATAATTAACTTACCATCTCTGTGGGTGTGATGTGGATCTCAGCATTGTTTAAAAGTTCAAGTGATTCTTACATGCAGAATTTTAAAAATATAGATGTATGTGAAGATTGAAGTCAGTGATAGTGACAGGAGTTGAGGTCAACGTGACAGGTGATGGAAGTCTTCAATGAATCAGTACATTGTGGAAAAATCTAAACAAAACCAAACATTTTCATTTAATACTATCTGCTTGTGTAAATATGAAACAGAGAGGCTTCTTATCCCTCATAAAATAATTTTATCAGTAGCAAGCAGGTAGGGAGATATGATTTATAACACAATTGTCCTTAAAATCAGACTAGCTGTATTCAGCTGTCCCTTAAATGCCGAATGGTAAATCTTACTTCCTTAAGTTATCTGGCTGCTTGATTCCTCATGGGGGCTTAGATTGTTTTTCTCTTTTTGAGAGCACAGGACCTGCCTAGACCTTGTACACGTTCATTCCTCTCCTTTTTCTTCAATTCCATTAGATTGGTCTTTCTGTTTCCCCAGTCATCCTCTCCTAGTTTTTACAAATCCTTCTTTCTGTACTTCCATATTCTTCCTTCCCAAGTTAGGTACTTTTTTTTTTTTTTTTTTTTTTTTTTTCTGGTGAGCTTGGCCTTTTTTTGATTAGTAATTTAAAGCTTCTTCTTTCCCTCAATATGTTATACCCCTTACATGGCTCTTGAAAGTTATCCCCTATGCCTTCTGTGTTACACCTACATCTTAGTTAAATGAAGCATAGATTTTTAACCTTTTTTTTGTGCCATGGATCCCTTTAGCCGTCTGGTGAAGCCTATGGATCTCTTCTCAGAATAACATTTTTAAACCTATAAATAAAATGCCCAGAACTAAGTATACTTACATTTGATAATAATTATCAAACTATTAAAAACCAAATTTGTGATATAGTAATAGAGATATTTCTTTAGTAGGTCATTAAATATCAAAAGCTATTGTTGGGGATTTCATTGCTATAATTTCAAAGTAGCGATGAGTGTTATGAATGATATTTTGCAATACCTGTAACAGCTAGCTGTAACATTATATAAAATTATCTGTGATTTTTGTTGGTAACAAAGTGACAGATACAGCTGCTGTTCTTATGTTGTTGTCTAAAGTTAGTTGAAAAAGTAATTTTATATTCACATCTGATTTAGTGGACCCACTGAGTCTTTGGGTTAAAGTAATTGAACTAGACATGTAAATAGTTATACTTGCTTACTTTCAATCTAATAAAAATATAACATTAAAAGTTTAAGGCTGAATACAGTGGCTTATGCGTCTAATCTCACACTTTGGGAGTCCGAGGTGGGAGGATCACATGAGCCCAGGAGTTTGAGACCAGCCTGGGCAACAAAAGAGACCCTGTCTCTACAAAAAATTTTAAAAATTAGTCATGCATGATGGTGCATGCCTATAGTCCCACTTAGTTGGGAGGCTGAGGCAGGAGGATTGCTTGAGCCCAAGAAGTTGAGGCCGCATTGAACCATGTTTTGTGCCACTGTGCTCAAGCCTGCGCAACAGAAGGAGATCCTGTCTCAAAAAAAAAAAAGTTTAAGAATATTTGCTTAGAGAATCTAATGTTATTTAAAAAACCATATTAGCATATCATATTGATGTGTATGAGAAAGTTTATAAGCAGCATTATTTGTAAGAGCTTCAAACTGGCAACAAACCAGATGTCCAATAGTAAAGTTGATAAATTAATTGCTTAAAAAATACAGCAATGAGAATAAATAGATTACTGCCAGGTGCAACAGTATGGATAAACTTCACAAACATAGTATTAAATAAGTCAGTCATGAGAGTTTATTCTGCATGTTATATTTTATGTAACATTCCAAAATAGGAGAAACTAGATTGGAAAGTAGTTTCTGTAGTAGTGACTGGGAGACTACATAATAAATGATTTTGCTGTGTTGGGAACATACTCCTTCTTAATCTGGGTGAAAATTTATCTTACATCTTGTGAAAATATATCCAAATTTGTAATTTGTACACTTTTTTGTATGTATGTCATACCTTAAAAGTTTTGAAAAGACATTATTTTTTTCAAAAAATAAAACCAGTTAAGTTGATAACCCACTGTCGTTAGTGGCTAGAATAGAGGAAGGTAACATTCTATTTTGTTTAGTATATTTGAGTTCTGTTCTGTATCAAAAAACAATTTTACTGCATTTCTGCCCCTTTTCTTCTTTTTATTTATGTCTATCTGTCTTTTTTTTTTTTTTTTTTTTTTTTTTTTTTTTTTTTTTTTTTTTTTTTTTT